GACTAAAACTTCGCAAGACAGACTGCCTGAGGGGTACTTTCCCTGCCATTCTCAATCCATTGTCAAGCTATCTCCTTATCTTAAATCTAAACTATACAGCAACAGTTTGCAAAGACTATTATACTAGAGTAGGATGATATTTATACATCTTCCACATAAATGAGCTGCTGACCTTCTTTAACAAGTTAACTGCTACAGATCAAGGCTTAGCTAGCATTGTCTCTGTGGTTTAAAAATAAATACAGATTTAGTATAACTCATTAATAAATGAAAACATACCACAATGAAAAGTTAAACAAATCTTTTAAGAGAAGCACTACTAGCTGACTTTATAATGTTACCTTTTAAAACACAAGAGAAAGGTTTGGAGATTTCAGAGTTAGATGACTATCCCAAATTATGTGCTTAACACAAACTTCACGTATATTACAATCTCCTTTCAGTGGTGAAACACAATGCTGATTATTTGTCTTTGATGCCAAGGGCCATATGAAGCAAACTGGCTGAGAACCATAAACAAGACAGATCGGTTACTCCTCAAGTGGATCTGCTCCCTGCTTTCTGAAAGACCCCAGAGGCGTAAATAACCAACAAGCAATAAGTTTCATTGACTGGCAGAATTTGCCTGCATTTCTGAGTCTTTCCGTCAAGCCATTTTAATTAAATACCAGCCATTTCTAGATACTCAAAGAGAATCTTGGCAGCTTTTGTACCTCATAGACCTCCTTAGCAACTTAAGACAGTAGCTTTAATTTAGTGGTAAGATTCTAGTTTTAACATAACTACCTAGACCACTGAGTGGTATGGCAACAGCTGAGGTATCTGGAAATGAATCTGAAGGCTTTGTGGTATGGCTTGACATATGAGAAGAGCTGTCAATTCAGACAATCTGAATTCCATCTCAATATTGTGTAAAAGCACCAATGACATTCAGGCCTTTGCAGTTTCACACTCCTTGAGCACTCAGTAACCATGGAAAAGTATATATAAATTTCAGAAATCAACAGTTATCAATTCTGATTTGTAGATCAGTAAGAAGCACTTGCAAATTCTAAGCAACTTTTTTTTTTTTTTGCAGATATAAATGCCTTCATGCTCATACAGGAAATTTCTGGAAATCCAAACCAATGGAGTAAAGATTTTGATTAATTTAAGGAAATAAAAAAGACAAAACAAAACAAAACAAACACAACCCTGCATCAACATAAGTGGATGACTTAAAAGTTGGAAAGAATAAAGTTCTATTAAGAAGAAATCAATGGACATTTAGGCATTCTTTCCTAATAATGTGTAATTATTCCCTGCAGTTGAAATTTAACATCTTTCTCACTGTCTTCTTCCAATATGCAAGACTACAGAAGGTAAGTATTCATAATAACACCATTCTTCAATTTACCTGAACTCTGAAGAGCTACTGCACCTGACGGTGTTGTTGCCATTTGTGTAACAATCACTTTATTACCAAACTCTTCATATTCATTTGTCTGTTAGTAACAAATATAAAGCTCAGTAATTCAGAAGGCATGAAACTCTCCAATGATCTCTTAAACATTGATCTTTCCTACACTTACTTACAGAATTTAATCCACTATATGGTTAGACTTGAACAGTTCAGAGAAACTAGCCTCTACGGACTTACCAGGGTCAGATTCCAAACCAAACATCTTTATCAAGTATCTTCTAAAAATTTAAATACAAAATACTATGGCTGAGACATGCAACATCAGCAAAGAATAAAAACATTAGTATCATGGTTCTTACACACATTCATTAGGATGTCTGTAACATTATCCTTCTTCTCCCTATATGTGCATTTCAAGTACTGTCTAGAATATCTAGATTTAACATCTAACAAGGTGGTCAAGAAAAATTTGCACTTAAAATAAAAATATTTTTCCTAGCATTTCAAACTTTACAGTAAAATGTCTGAAAAATAAATATATGCCTCTATATCTGAAGATGAGCAACATCCAATAAACTTAAAATTAATGTAGTAGAAATATCAAAGGTAAGCTATATTTAAATTCATTTTTGTGATACAAAATAGAAAGGAAGTGACTAAGTGGTTTCTGGAATTTTTTTTCTTATTTTCTTCCTTTTTTATTTTATTATAATCATTAAAAGAAAGTAAAATTGTACAGACAGACTCTGTAATGCTTACCTGGAGTTTCTTTGATAAACTGCTAAACATAAAGTTCACACAGTCATTCATGGCACCTGTGCTATGAAGCAGAAATAGTCCTTTGGGTGTGGCAGAAAAATTTACCAAGGCATCTAACAAAGTCTCCTCCCATAACAAACTGCAAGAGTAGCAAAATAATTTTAAAAGACATGCAAAAAAGCATGAGGAAAAAAATTAAGACTACAATTTCTAAGGTTGAGAAACATCACCACTTCATTTCCTGGGCTTTACGTTTACTCTATACATTTACGTTGCTTTTAAAATAAGCATTTGGGAAACTTACATATTAGACTATTTTCTACAAACTTCCAAACTCATCCTGGCAAAACTAAGGTTAGCTAGGAACACAGAACAGAACGATGATGTAATGGGGAACCCAAAATACCTATGACATCTCTAAATATACTTATGACTTGCTATCTGACTCCAGACAAGTCTTGAGATTTTAATGCAGCAGTTACAAACTAGCAAAACAGGCACAGAGTTTCTCACCAACGTAAGAACACTATGAGGAACTAAAAAACTCACATTTGAGGAGATAAAATGCCTTCTAAAAATTAGTACAGAATTGTGAAACTAAGGTCCTATATATACAGAAAATACATTTACATACTAACAACAATAAATGGAACCTATTTGCTACAGACATGGCAGAAAGAACAGCAATTGCAAGAAGTATGATGATATCCTCTGCCCTACAAAATATTCTACCCTCTATAAGGAAAAGCCAAGCAATTACATCACCTTTGACTAGGTACCATCCCTGCAGGTACCATTAGACTCTTGTGATTCTGCTTCTCTAAAAGCATTTGCTTAGCGGATTCTCATCCTCAGTTCTGTTCTCATTTCCCATTTTTAAATTCTCTCACCAGCAAGCAGCATGCAGCTTTCCTCATAGCAGTCAACCATTACCCCAAGCTTTAATCACTTCTGCAGAATCCCTGCCATGTCATGTTCAGAAGCAAAAATTTCACCCAGAAAAGACCCAGCTATCTTGTTCCACAGCTAAATGAAAAATGTAGATACTAGGAGGAAATTGTGTTACTGGTAATGATTAGTAACAGCCTTCTCAGACAGAGCTCTGCACTAGATTTGAGCTGCTATAACCAGTTCACATACCACCATCACAGACTAGAGCTATTGAGGTATCTTTGCAAATTATACATGAAATCTATAGTAAAGTATAAACAAGAATCTAGTTAATTAACTAGGTTCTACACTAACACCAACATCACACTGAATTTTCAGGCTCACAAATATCTGTTATTTCTCATCCTAATATGCCTACAAACTTCTATAAAAGGACATGAAGTTTTTGTATAAAAGGAAGGATGACTTCCACTTAATATGTGATAGGCATTTTTTGCTACATAATATTTTGAAGGTGTAGCTACCATTCAGCAGAACAGCATTTTAGACTAACACTAAATTAAACCTGTAAGATAAACTGTCAGGCATTTTGTTTTATGCTTTCCAATTCACATTTTTCTCAAGTCAATTTCTGCAGTCAGAGAGAATCAACCATAAGTCAATTCTGCATAGATTAGACACAATTCTGTAAGCCAAAAAAGTCGTGAAAGGTCAAGAACAATTTTGTAACTCTACTAAGGGCTATGTCAGGATGATTTCACTCTACCTACCACTATGCTTTTGGAAAAAAAAAACCCACAGGGTTATTAGGATGCCTCAGTTGTGGATTAAGTAGCAGTCTGTGTTCACACTTACGCATATGTATAAATTAAGTATTAACTTACGTGGTTTTTGACTCTAGATTTATTGATGAAGCTGAGTCCACACCAGTTACAGGAGTAGGTACTCTTTCTGA